GCTCTCTGCAGCTCTAACCGGAGTACTTAAGGCAGTAAAAAATCAATTCGACGAGCAAAAAAAACTTTTCAATAACAAAATCGAAGACTTGAAAAAGACTTTGAAGAGTAACGCTTCTATTACTGGCAAATTCAACAAGCGGATACATCTTACTCAAGCATACTTGGTAAATCGCAAAAGAGGTTTTAGAGCGACATAAACTTTTCAATGCTTTCAACAACGACTCTAAAGATTGACAAGCAAGAGAGAGCGACGTTGTTTTATTCGGCGTCCATAAATCAAAAAGGTCAATAATACATAAGTCAAGGAGGTTTTTAAAGCAATCGGAATCACCGGGATTACAACTAAATCAATATGTCGTCTAAAAAAAGGTGAAAACGTCGACAATAATTCACTTAGCCTTCTTCAAGTCTGTCTTTCTAGCCCAGGCGAGCAAATCCTGGTGCTAAAAGCTGGAAGCCACCACAAAGCTAAAAAACTTAAAGGGATATATAAACGCAAGGGTTGGACGCCCGCGCAGCAACTTGAGTTTACAAAACTCAACAAGGAGAGAAAGAAGAACAACAGCAGAATTTAAAGCAACAAGAGGAATTAGAGGCAATTAATCTTCTTGACAAACTCTTTCGTTTTACCGTCCATCGACAGTCTGGTTCAGTACGATGCATTGACGCCATCAAGTTGATCGAACAAAAAAAAGCATCTTTGCTACTTTTGAACAACGAAAAGAAAATGTACAAAAAATCAATCGGTCCACATATACCAACGCTTCAAAATTCACTACTGTAAGTGCTTTTAACCTTGCCAATACAAATTCAAAAAACGCTATCACCAGCATTACCAGCACCATTGCTACCAACAGAACAGCTATTTCTTTCGCCAAAACGGCTATCAAGACGACCGACCCCGCCAACAGCACCACCATTTCTACCTCGACGAACTCGACCGTAACGCTCGTTGCATAAAGTCTATCAACCTAAGCTCAATGGCATAAATATAACATTAGCTCCTCATGACGGATACCTACGTTTTTGGGCTTATAATCCATGCTTGCTCAACAGAAAAAAACTTGATGAATTTGCTTCCAGATTAAAAGCAACATCTAAAAGCGCAATCCCAGATATAATTTTTGTCGCAGACACTTGGTTTGATGAGTTATCACAAAAAAAGAAGCGGCAGGTTATAACCTGTATCAAAAAGTTTGAGGATCTCGCGGAGGTGATGTGACTTTATACATCAAGAACTACTGTTCTTGATGTATAAAGTCACATGTGCTCGTGAACTTAAAATTTAGAATCACTCACTAGTATCCCTTGTAAAGTTATGGAGTGTTTTGTTCGAGACCAGATTTTAAATCATTGTATTATAAACGATCTTATATTAAAAAACCAACACGGTTTCCTTTTCAAAATGTTGTGCTTGACAAACCTTCTGGAAACACTTGATCTTTTAACAGAAGCTATTTAACAGAAGCATTTAGTACGGAAAAGTATAAAGTCATGCACACTGGCCGAGGAAAACGAGAACTTTTTCATGCCCTGGACCAGACGACGTGCCACTTGCAATCGAAGTTACACATTTAGAGTAAGATCTTGGAGTTCTTATCTCAGATGATCTTAAACTTAACGCTCAAGTTTCAGCAGCTGCGGTGAGAATGCTAACTGCTCCTTAGAATGGCTGAAAAAAAACTTGTTGCAGCCGCATTTTTTTAATGTGGAAACAACTGTATATCACGTATGTTCGTTCTTACCTAGAGTACGCTATCCAAGTGTGGTCACCATACCAACGGGCAGACATAGAAGCGCTAGAAAAAGTTCAAAACCGTACTACAAAAACCATTTCTGAGAATAAGTATCGCACCGCTGAGCAGAAAAAAGTCATATTACACTTCAAGACAGAAAAATAAGAGGTGATTTTATTCTGATGTTTAAGTTGAAATCGATGAAATAAATTTTCACGTACTATTCAATTGTCCTTCGTCGTAAAAGTATATTATGCGTCAAAGTATATTATGCGTGGTAATAATCGAAGACTTGCACAGCAAAAATTACTTAATTGCATGACAAGAAGACATTTTTTTACAAACCGTGTTGTTTTGCAGTGGAATACCCTGCCGCAATTAGTAATTGACGTGAATTTGGTAAACATGTTTAAAAAGCGAGTAGATGAACATTTAAATCAGTTAAAAGAGAATTTAAAAAAATAACTGGAAATAAATTCATTTCACATATGTTTCCAGTATTCTATTATTTTCTATTCTATTGTTTGTGTCGCAAATGTGCACGAGTATCTTATGACTGTTAGTATAGAGGTGCCTTATGCAGCACATCTTTTTTTGTAATTTAAAAATAGCGAACATTTATGATTTTATTATTATAAATATTATTATATTTATATTATTTATAGTCTATAAAATTAATTATAATGTAAACAACTTACAAAATATAAACAGCCTACATAATGTACAATTTACTAAACTCATAAAGTCAGAAGTGACCAATATAATTATTTATATAATTATATATTATTATATATATATATTATTTATAGTCTATAAATTTATTATAGAATGTTGTAAATATTTTTAAAAACTAGTAATATTATTATATATTTCTGCATAAATAATATTTCACAGAGTATTTATAAATATAAATTTATATAAACTAACTGTGCAGCCCACCCAACTGTAGATGGTGGACTTATTGATCACTAAATTAAACTAAACTATTATGTTGTAAAACTAAAATTAAATTTTTTAGATTTTTAAGTTTGTGTTAATGGCTATGTCCTTTAAACAATAAAATACAAATCGTACTTGGTTACCATAACCATAAATCCATTTTAGCATGGCAATAATGTGCAGAAAATAAAGTGGTGCGACGCGGCATTTTTGAATTAATATATTTTTAAAACCTTACATATGGATTTATTTTTTTAAACGTGTCAAATAAATTGATGGACAGAGGACATGGTCAAAAATATGGAAATTTACATATACATATTAAAAATTTACTTTACCCTTTTAACCAAAAACTATGTCATTAAAAGCCTAACTTCTTTTTTAAAAATTTTCTGCTACCATGAGGGCCCCATCTATGTTTCTTTATCGGGACCCCTTGGTACCAGTCCGACCTTGGAGATTACACAAGAAAGAATGATAACGATGAAAAATATTCGAGAAGAGGTTTTATAAGAAATAACAATGCTGTTGCTGATATTATAAGAGATAGTACAAGAAACAACAATGCTGTAGCTAACATTATAGGAGATTGTGCAAGAAACAAAGATCGTGTAGCTGATTTAACACAACAAAATAATGTATGAGAATATGAAAAAAATGCCCAAAATACAAAAAGTTCAAATAATAGTAAGAATTCAGTCATTATATGTGCGATGGCACATGGCAGAGTATAGGATTTATTTTATTTAATGGTGTGTTTGTAGCCTTCCCAATGGTTTGTATGTTGAAGTTGAGGTGGAGAGTATGCCTTTTTTACAAAAAAAAAAGAATATAATAATAATTTAAAAAAATGCTCAGTGAAAAATGTATATATTAGTAAAATGAACTTTATTTGTTTTGCAGGTGGAATGTGGAATGAGGAGCCAATAACATTTTCCAGCGATTGGTTAAGAAACATAAATTGCGTTATCTTTTTAGGTAAAAGAGATAGCAAAAACATAAATTAAAGTACGTTAGCTTTTTGGTAACAAATACTACATTAATAAAAAAGATGTTTATCATAAAATGTCAGCAATTATAAAACTTCAGAAATAAATTTTTTATTGTTAAGTTTAACTATTCATCAAAATACTTTTAAAACTCAAGTATAAAATAGACATTTCTGATTAATGCACTAGATGATCAGATATCGTCAGCCGAGAACCAAGAGGCCGCCTGTCCACATTTTGTGTTTTTTCTCTTTATTATCAATAAATAGTCAACAATCAATAAAGTATGTGTCTAACAAATCTGCAAATTTAATTTGTAAAGACTGCAAAAAGTCTTTACAAAATAAATCTTAAAACTTGATTTTCTCGGAAACATAAAAAATCGACATACAGTCTCTTGAATTTCGGCTGACAATATGACGATTACAAAATGTTTTATATTTTTGTTAACAATTTTAAACCAAGTTGTTTGAAATACAATATTTTGAAAAATCAGGTTTTGCAATAGTGTATTTTTAGAATAAGGAAAATTAGAAAACTATTTTCAATAGAATTTCAAAGCCTGATGTCATTTCACTGATTGCTGCAATTTTTTTAAAACTTTTTTTAAACTTTTTTTAAACCTTTTTGTTAGATGGCTTTCCGACATGGAGAAAACCTTAAGCTTGAGTATGTTTATGTTAATACAAAGCCTAAAAAATTGCGATGGTTGGAGCCCAACAAGATATCATAAATTTGTGTTTTACCCAAGCCCTAAATACTAGGGAAACAAGTTTTTTAAGTTTTTTATCATTGGTATTATGAACTAAATTTATAACCATCAACAGATTTTAAATTTTATCTAATAATATTTAAGGGTTAAAAGTAATGGCCATGTAAATTTTACTCCCTCATTTTAGATGTTTGGAAAGTTTACATGGTCCTAAATTTTAAACACTAATATATTAAAGCTTAAAATCTGTTTATTTAAAACATTTGAAGATTTAATGATTGAAGCTTGGAAAAAAAAATCTTGTACCATCAATTCTTGCATTAAGCTTTTTATATTTTTCAAACATTAGTAAACATTAGTTAAAAACAATTTCATTATTTTTTTTTAAACCTTCGCCCAATTAAGTCGGGCAGCAACTTTTAAAAAAGTCAAATAATGTTTGATTCAATAATGTGCCACTTGATTTGTCTTATATAAACATGTGCTACTTAACTATGTATTAGGTAAATAATCAGGTAATGTGCGTAACCTGATTATGTGTTATGCATACATAATTATTTTATTAATTACATATTACTAACATATTACTCAAATTATATGGTAAAAAAAAAAGTACTTTTACCTTATCCGGTGTTCCACTTTCTATTCACTTCCTGTTTAAGAATATTAAATGAATATATAGAAATTCCCTTGAAACTTTTTTTCCTCTCAAACGTTACTTATAACGGTCCTTGCTCACAGTATCATTTTTGTAATGCTCAATTTTTTTGATTCTTTTTGTATGAATAAGAAATTTAAAATAAATAATATTCACGATGGAGTGTTTCAGTGATAAAATTTAATTATTAAAAACCTACTTTAAATCGGAAAAGTGCGTCTATTCATAAACGTCATTTTTTTTCTGGTTTAATATATATTTCATTAGAGGAATAAGTAATATTTACGCTATTATTTTTTATAAGATTTTTAAAACATTGGATTTGGATTTCTGAACCATAATTTTTTGTATCTATTTTTATCTAAATTAACAAATATTAGCATTTAGCAGTTTTATATATATATATATATATATATATATATATATATATATATATATATATATATATATATATATATATATATATATATATATATATATATATATATATATATATATATATATATATATATATATATATATATATATATATATATATATATATATATATATATATATAAATTTATTTAAGTCATAAAACATTATATAAACACAAATAGCAGGGGCAAGAAGAAGACATAGTTTGTCTTATCATCAAGTCCCTTAGTATCGTAAATATTAAATAACAAAAAATAAAAAAATAAACGTAAAACTATATAATACAAAACGTTTTTCTAATGACTTTATAATTAAAAATTATAGTTCTTAATTTCTTACTTTAACTTTTTCTTTTTGTATTGGTTAAGAAAAAAATTAAATACAATATATATATATATATATATATATATATATATATATATATATATATATATATATATATATATATATATATATATAAATAAGGAAAAAGTGTAGAAAAGGTCGTTGTGGTTATATAATTTTATGAATATAAAATGTATATATATATGTATATATCCTTGTATATATAACTCATTGCCAAAGTAACTCTATTAAATAAAATTTGCTATCTTACAATTTTTCTGTCAAAAAAAAGATGTGGTAAAAGTAAGTAACATCTGTATTTTTATTATGAAAAATGTTTTGTCGATAGCTGTTTATTAAAAATGATTATTATTAAAAACATTTTGTTAAAGTTATTAAAAATAAGCCTTTTAAATTATATATTTTGGAATTTATTTTTAGAAAAAGTAAAACTAATAATAATAATGGTTTATCATCAAAATTATTAATTGAACATCAGATTTCGGGTTATTTGTAATTGAAAAGAACCTAACATGATGTGCTGTGCTGAATAATATCGCGTGCTGTGCTAAATGTGCTGAAAAATATCAAATATTAGTAAGTGGTGTAAGTAAGATGTGTATAAAATACGAAACAACTGTTTCTGTTAAAAATTAAAAAAGACTTGGTTGCCCCCTTAAGACTTCAGCAAGAACTGGTATGCTAATTGCACGGACAGCAAAAAAAATTCAACAATAACCTCAAGACAGATTGTTGAAACTCTTAAATTAAATTTTCCTGTCGAATTGTACAGAGAAGATTAGAGTCAAATGGTTTAATAAACCGTCTAAAGAAAAGTAAAACTCTCATAAGTGGTATAAACAAAAAAAAAATCGTTTAGCATTTGCAAAACTGGATATTAACAAGGGTAAGCATTTTGGAACTCAGTGTTATGGTCTGATGAGAGTAAATTTCAAATATTTGGCTTTAAAAGACGACAAAGGGTTTGGTAAAGACCTTAAGATGCACTCTTAGAGAGAAATCTTAAAAAAACTATCAAGCATGTAGATGGCTCACTTATGGTTTGGGGATGCTTTGTTTCAAATGGTGTAGGAAGGCTAGTGAATTTTAAAGGTATAATGACAGAAATTTTATATTGGTTTACTTTCAAAAAATTTATGTCAATCCGCTGAAGAACCTAAACTGTACGGACCCTTAAAAACAGGTCTTAACCAAACCAAACATTTATATAGTTATCTTTTCCACACTGATCATTACTATACTTATTAAACATTAGAGGGTATGATAGTACAAGTATCTAGGAGTACATTAGAGTTGGTTTTGAAATCTTTCAGCATTGTCCGTGAAAGAAAAAATTTATTTGACTTTTCGAATTTATTGCTCTAAACAAAATTGCTACATTTTCTATTGAAAGCATTTGAAACTTGTTTTAACATATTTCTCCTATAAATAAGCAGTGTATCGGTGGCTTTCAGGGAGCCGGTCGGTGGCTTTCAGGGGGCCCAGGTGCAAAGTGTGTGTAATTTTTTCGTTTAAAAAATTATTCCTCTTTTTTCTGTTTGCCCACTAAATGATCCAAAATCCAGTGAAAGAGGGGGAGAAGTGTCACCTCCAACATCAATGGATTTTATCAACTGACGTCACTCTCTTTGCACCAGTCTTGCTTGAAAACCGCAAAATCAAGTGTCTGGATTGGGTTGCAGTGGTAATAAAAAAAGGTAAATACAATATTTGCAAAATTTTCATTTTTATTTTTTATTCTTCACCAAAAAATGGGGCTCCTAAAAATTGAGAAAATGTGGGGCCCTGGTGCGTTGCAACCTTTGCACCCTCTTCTTTTTTTTTTAATTTTATTTAAGTGCCCTAAGAAGTCCTAACGGTCTTATCACAGAGCACCGCGTTTGAGCATTTAGTTGGAAGTTCACGCCTCCTTCCTAACCGATGTCGCAAAACTTGCCCTGAGGTGGGGTTTGAACCAAGAATCTTTTGTTTCAGAGGCAAGTGCAATACCACTGCGCCATGGCTGCTCAAAATCAACAACAAACAAAAAAGCATTCAATTCCTTTAGAAAATTTAAAAAAGCAGATTCTAGCTTAACAGATCAAGCAAATTGAAAAAAAGGATTACTCTTATTAAACATAGTTCCTAAAAATTTATGTTGAAGGAAATTTCTTCCAAATCATATGTTAAAATACAGTATTATCTAAGAAGAAGTTAAAAAAAAATGCTTGCTGTTTTATAGTGATGGTTAAAGTTATGATGGGTTTTTTTTTCTTGCTCTTAATAGATGCCCAGTAAGTAGTAAGTGGTTGTGGCAATCAATAAACTGTGTCACGTAAAAAAAGATAGTATGCGCTTTGGGAGTGACACTCGTGTTTGGAAGCTTGAGGTAGGAGTTTTTAAATACTTCAATTATTCATAACATGCAATTGTTATCTTGAGGAACATTTCCTATGGAGGCAATGAAAACTCGCATCAAACTTTCTGAATGTTTCAATAAGTGGAAATGCTAAAAAACAAGCATACTTTTCCGCATGGAGCCAAATGTTCTGAGTTCACCGCTCTGATGAAGATTAACTTACTGTCACACCAGGTACAAAGGTAAATACTGCTGAGTGAGACTGCAAGCCATAAATAACGTTTGCAAGCATCATGTCACATGACAACACAAAAAACAATCTCTCAAGGCTCAGTTTGTCCATGATATGCTTTACATTTTCAGATTAATTTTCTTTGATAGCCACCAGAAATTGATGCTTCACTCCTGAGTCCTTGAAGAGAGGTTTCTTAGTAGGTGAAGAAGCATTTGGTTCTAAGTCAAGAACCCCTAAAGGTTCTTTTATAAACCCCTATCTTTTATCAATACTTACTTTGATAAGTTCATTTAACTGAGGACCTCTAATCTGAACTAAAGAGTTTCCTAGTGCTTCAAAATCTTTGCAGTACACCAATAGACGTTTGAATTTTTCCCCCAATAGATACCTGAATGTGTCTGAAATTTCTAAGGTGATAAACAGAAGCAGTTAATCTTTCTGTTGCATTTGGAAGCATTCCTCTTGTACAGTTATGTAGAATCCCTCTTCCAATCTGTGAAAAGCATGCTAAACTATGTTTCTTAACAATTAGCTGTTCTCTCGGCTTAGTGGTTGTGTTTGTTGTTCTAATCGACTGAGGGCTTCCAAACTTGGCTTTTCCATATAAAAAATCTTGTAATCACATGTTGATTCTCTTGTTGCAGAAAGAATCTTTATGCTTTGATGGTCACGCAGTGAGGGAAGTTGAACATCATCACTATTGCCTTTTTTTCTAAGTCCTACTCGACATTTTTTGCAGATACTAATTGGGACTGTTTGATCTTCAAAATTGACCAGACCGCGATAATCATAAAGTCAGTCAGTTGTCTACTAGCTTTTTTTAAACAGAGAAAAAAGACAGTTTTTCTGTTATCATCATGGGTTTTGGCTTGATTTGGCATTTTAAATAGTTTTGCACTTGTATTTTGCTCAAAAGGCTCAATGAAATATTCGCAGGTCTTTCCCGGAATTTTAAAATCAATAAAGGGCCTAGGAACTACTTAAACAAATTATATTTAAACAAGTTGCTTATCTTTGTAAGTAACTTATGTGGCAAAAATGTTTATTTAAAATGTTTTATTTCATTTGATTAATCTGAATTTTGATTTTAATCTGAATTTTATTTCATTTGATTAATTTGAATAATCTTGTTAATCAAAATTTTCAAATCAATTTTTCTTTCACGGACGATGATGAAATATTTCAAAACCAACTCTAATGTACTCATACGTACTTGTATTACCATACTTCCGAAGATTTTTCTCCGGAAAAGAGGTTCAAATTAAAATTTATTTTGTGACACAGTGATAGCAAATATTTAAGACGGTCTCTAAATCATTGGGGTCTGGAAATAGATTTTCCCGTTGTCGAAGCAGCCCTTCTCTTATATTGATTTGCTCCATTATTATTATAATATTATTACATAATATTATTACTGTAAAAATAGAAAGGAAATAAAAAATAACTTAATTATTTTTGTTACTATTTATTTCAAAAAAATAAATTATTCCCATACTTTGACTAAACCGACTAAGAGTCAATTTCATAAATGTATTGGTCGATTTAAGTCGACTGTGGAATTATGGAGTGAAGCATCAATTAATTTTTTTAATAGAATTCCCCCCCCCCCCCCTCAACATCCTTAGGGTTTAAGTATAGTCAGTTTCAAACGTGGACGGGAAAAAAAAAGGCGTAGCAAGGGTGGGGCGGACATGCCCCAGACGGTTTCTTTTTAGGAGTGACGCCGCTCTTTATGTCATTAAATAATAACTAAATTTGTTTTGTATTACTTTTGTAGTATCTATTTTTTA